CGTTGGACTAACTCAGCCTTTTTTCCGGTAAAAGCTAATTCTCTATCCTCAAGATGCCTTCTTAGACTCGTAACTGTGAGCTCGTAAATCGTAGCCATTGTTCACCAATTTCACTTCTTTTTATTTAAAGTCCCGCTTGTTTATTTAAATATCCCACTTCTGACACCAACTGTTATGTATTTATATAGTTCTAATTTATTTGTCTTTATTCTAATTTATTGTCTATATTCTAATTTATTAAAACTCACGATAACTAATTACTAATTTATTAAATAGCTGTACAAATGTATTATGTCACGTTTCGTTACAAATAAACCGCGTTTCCCGATCTTCTTATGACTGACTCCAAATAAAAAATCTTTGGTGTATATACACAACTGTTATCATCTAGATTATTCGGCGGACTTCTTGAATAATCTCGTATTTTGGTGAAGGCGCTCGACTCGTTTTTCAACTGTTCGAAAAACCTCGAGACGTGGATTACTCATAAAATTAGGGTCTAAAAGTTTCTGTAAACAAAACAACTTCGAATTTACTGGAACAGAAAACAGAATTAGTCATAATATATTGATAGTTATAAACGCCATAATTATCGTAACAGTATAGAATGGACTTAAGCGGCGTTAGCAGCAAAGCTTGTAGGAACGTATAGCTAGCCGAGCCTCTGAGCGCAGCAGATGTCCTAACTAGCCTCCAACACGCTAAAAAGAGAAGAAAATACTTTGGATGTAGAAGCCGTCAACGATTTAATTAGAAAAAGACCGGAGGTCATGAATAAATGTTTTACCAGAATCAAACTTGGAGATCTTGCAGCTTCTGGATAACATAAATATTATTTGACATCTTACAATCATCAAATTGCCATACTATAGTATGCCAATCATTAGTATAAAATCATCATCAGTATAAAATCATTAGATAAAAGTGCAGGGAGGCGAAAGAGAACTGGATGTCAACAAAATGCCTAGAAATCAAAAAACTTCAGGAAAAATACGACACCTTTAATATTCACAAAAACGTAAAAGAAATGACAGGTAGACACAAAAAGAGACAAGCTACAATATTAAAAAATAAAAATAACAAAATATATATGGGTACAGAAGACAAACTAGAGAGATGGAAAGAATACATACAAACTCTGTTTGACGACGATATACCTTGTTCTCCACCATCCACAGATAATTGAATAAATGAAAAAGGCCCAGAAATAACCAAAGAAGAAGTGGTTCACGCAGTAAAATCTCAGAAAGATGGAAAAGCCACCGGTCCAGACAATATCATTGTCGAAATACTAAAACTAATTGCAGATAACGAACGAAAGTAAAAGTCTAGACTTAATAACATCATTATTCAATAATATATATATATATATATATATATATATATATATATATAGATATATATATATATGACACAGGTAAAATACCAACAGACTGGCTAAAATCAACATTCGTAGCATTACCAAAAAAATCGAATTCCTCACAATGCGATGATTATCGAATATTAAGCTTGATGTCTCATGTCCTTAAAACTTTTCTCAGAATTATCCATACACGAATTTACAAGAAGTGCGAGTTCCAGATGAGTGACACTGAATTCGGATTTCGAAACGGATTGGGAAAACGAGAGGCTCTTTTTGCTTTAAATGTGTTAACGCAACGATGCAGAGACATGAATTTAGATGTATATGCATGTTTTATCGATTATAGAAAAGCATTTAACTGCGTTAACTATCAAAAGATGATCGAAATTCTGAGAACAACTGGAGTTGACGAACAAGACTTGCGAATTATCTCAGAACTATACTGGCACCAAACGGCAACAATTAAAATAGAGCACACAACATCCGAAGATATACAAATCCGACGAGGAGTTGCGTCTTATCACCGCTACTGTTTAATTTATATTCGGAATCTATATTCAGAGAAACATTAGACGAGGTCCAAGGCGGGATTAAGATTAACGGAATCAGCATAGCATAGACAACATCAGATATGCTGATGGTACCCTCTTAACAGCAAGCAACGCACAACAACTACAAAATATAATAAATGCGGTAGTTTACCACAGCGAAATGTTCTGTTTACATCTAAACGTTTCCAAAACTAAAACTTTAGTATTTTCAAAGACACAAATAATAAAACAGGTAAATTCCATAAACTATTTGGGAGTAATTGCTGTTCAATGTTTACTCTGAGAAGATATTTCAGAAAGCTTTGGAAGGCACCTCGGATGGTATAATTATAAACGGGCAATGTATAAATAACCTGCGATATGCTGATGACACTGTCATACTGGCAGATAATGCTGAAGCCTTGCAACGCTTAATGGACCGAGTAACGACAGCCTGTAGAGAATTTGGAATGAAATTGAATACAAAGAAGACAAAAACGATGGTCACCAGCAAGCACCAAAACAGAAGGGTGAAGGTCAATGTCGACGGAACAGATCTGGAAAGAGTAACAAGAACAACGTACCTTGGAAGTAATCTTGATGAAACTTGGGACCACTCACTAGAGATAAGAATACGCCTGGAAAAGGCACGTACAATGTTTTACAAAATGCAAAAAGTTCTATGCAACCGCCAGCTGGGCATCTCATTGAGAACTAGAATACTTAAGTGCTATGTTTTCTCCACCTTGCTCTATGGTGTTGAAGCCTGGACAATGACAGAAGCAACACAAAAAAGAATCCAAGCATTCGAACTCTGGTGTTACCGTAAAATGCTCAGAATATCCTACATGAGCCATACGACAAATGCGGAAGTCTTGCGGAGGATGAATAAGGAAAGAGAGCTTATGCTTATAATAAAAGAACGGAAAACACAATATTTTGGTCACATCATAAGAAATCAGAAGTATGAACTGCTCCAACTTATAATCGAAGGCAAAGTCAATAGCAAAAGAGGACCAGGAAGAAGACGCAACTCCTGGCTTAAAAACCTACGGCAATGGACGAACATGACCTCCATAGAACTATTCAGGGCTGCTACAAATAAGATTAAATGGGCAAATGTAATGGCCAACGTCCTTATCTTATGTCTTATGATCTTATGTCCCAAAGGATAAGGCACCGTAAGAAGATTTGTGAGTAAATATCAATAGTCAGTGTAATCCAAAAAAAGAAATCCTATCAAGAATTGAACAAGCAAGGAAAACATTTATGAGCATGAAAATATTTTTTACAAGATCGGACCTTAGTTCACAGCTTAGAATCCGAATGATCAGATGTTACGTTTTTTCTGTCTTGCAGTATTATTGGGAAAGTTAGACAATGGACTCTGAAATATAAAAAAGAATAGATGCCTTTGAGATGTATATATACAGACGAATGTTGAGAATTCCTTGGGTACAAAGAGTTACTAATGTTGAGGTACTTCGTCGCATTTGTTAGGCACTCTATATTGATTGAAGCTCTAAAAGACATTGGCTTGGACGAAAGAGATGTTCAAATAATTGCAAATTTATATTGGAATCAAACATCAGTTTTAGTAGATGGTATGGAATCACAGGCTCTCAATATTAAAAGAGCGGGATGTTTTAAATGTTTATTCCGAAAGAATTTTCAGAAAAGCACTTTCTGAAAAACAAGAAGGAATACTTGTGAACGGCGAAGTCATCAATCATTTGCGATATGCGGACGATACAGTACTCCTAGCTTCTAGTCAAGAAGATCTGCAAACACTACTTAATAGTGTCGTTGAGAGTTATAGGGAGGCAGGTCTGGATCTTAACATACAGAAAACCAAAATAGTCGTAATAAGTAAACAACAGCATATAAAACCGTCTATATATGTAAATAATACCAAACTTGAGCAAGTTGATAAAATCGTTTACCTTGGACAGCAATTAAATTGTAACTTAGAAAGTCACGGCGAAATTAGATCTAGGATAGAGCAGGCTAGAGCTGCTTTTAGAAGGGTGTCCAAGGTGTTATGTAACAGAGACCTAAAATTGGCATTGAGGATCCGCCTACTTCGCTGCTACGTATTCTCGGTCTTACTGTATGGTGTCGAGTCCTGGACTGTGAATAAAATCGATCTAAATCGCCTTGAGGCTTTCGAAATGTGGTGCTATAGAATAATTTTAAAAGTTTCCTGGGTGGAGAAGATTCGAAACTCCACAATACTAGAACGTCTCAGCAAGACTACTGAGATCATAAAAGGTATCAAGCAGAGAAAGCTGGAATATTTCGGACATGTAGAGGTCCCAAATATAGGTTGTTACAAAATATCATGCAAGGAAAAATAGCAGGCAAACGCAGTCCAGGACGAAGAAGAACCTCATGGTTAAGAACTTGCGAGATTGGTATGGTGTTGATACAAGCATGCTATTTAGGATGGCAGTGAATAAAATTAAGATAGCTATGATGGTAACCAACGTTGTGAAAGGACATGGTACATGAAGAAGAAGAAGTCGCATGCAAAAAAAATTACTAAGAATAATCAAAGAGAGGAAAATGCAATTCTTGGGTCATGTGTTGAGAGGCGAAAGGTATGAACTACTTCAAGTTATACTGGAAGGAAAAGTACAGGGCAAAAAATCAGTAGGAAGACGCCAGAACTACTGGCTGAAAGACCTAAGGAGATGGTTCGACCGCTCATCCGCAGAAATCTTTCGCGCAGCAGTTTCCAAAACTACAATTGCCATTTGGATCGCCAACCTTCGAAAGGAGACGGCGCCATGAGAAGAAGAGTATGTCAATATAGAGGAGTTAAAGTGTAGTGAACTAAATTGTCCTATGATACTGGGAACACTAATTAACATAACGGTACTAGTTTGTTGTACCAGGTTTGGCTAATTTAAATTTGCTAATTGGTTCTGTGAGAATAGATTATAATGTAAGATACATATACTTTCTCCTAGATTTACTTTATTTCTTAGAAATAAGGTTATTAATTAATTCTAGTTCGCTCACTATTCCAGGAGTATTATCTAGTAAATTCATAATAAATATTTTATTTTTTACCAAAATATTAATTTTGATGTTTATTTTCTAAGGTGGAATTTATATAATAGCAAAGATCCTTACGGACAACTCAAATGGTTGGCTGATACCTTGTTAGAAGCTGAAAAAAATAAGGAGATTGTTCATATTTTATATCACATTCAAACATCTTCTTGTATTGCAAGTTGGGGAAGAGCATACAATCAAATCTTAAAAAGGTAGGTACAAGCATTTCTTATTTAAATATTTTATTTAAAAACAGTAGAAATAAAAATACTATGGTTATTAATTTACAGTACTGAAAGGGTGTGCTTACTTTTGAATAAAATATAATTTTCAAGCCGAACTGCTAACAATCGATTTTTGTGCTCAAGTGTACCCAAAAATGCTGTACATCATGCAATATTCGCTTATCCACTGCTGGACATGGATCTCCCTCATAATTTTCCATCTATTTCGATCTTGTGCCTCTTGCATCCAATTCCTATGACAACGTTTCAGATCGTCAGTACAACGTGTTGGTGGACGACCTCTGCTTCGGTAGGAATCATCTCTTGGTCTCCATTCCAGTATCCGCTTTGTCCATCTATTATCTGTCATTCGAGCCACATGACCTGCTTAAAAAAAAACAAAAAAAAAACAAAAAAAACATGTAAAAACATCGAGGTGTTGAACAAATTTAACACCGGCAGTGACCATAGACTAGTTCGTGCTGATATACATATTAACGTAAAGAGAGAAAGACGAAAACTATTAACAACAAACCCTTTACCGACGGCAGACATCCTAGCCAGTAATAAAGAGAAATACCAAGAGGAATTAGCACGGAAACTAGTAGCAAATACCTTTGAGCACAAGAATATAGATGAACTAGCTGAGAAAATAACTAAAGACATACAAACAGTCACTAAGAAACTTTGTTGCAGAATAAGAAAACAAAAGGAAGCTAAACTAAAACCCGAAACTCTAGAACAGATAGATAAAAGAAGAAGAACGAACAGAGATAACCCGGACTATAAAGCGCTCAACAGAAGCGTTAAGAAAAATATTCGAAAAGACCTCAGAGTTTATAGAACAAACCAGATTCTTGAAACCATAGAAAACAATAAGAACATGAAAGTACTAAAAACATGTAAATCCACTGGCAGGAATAAAATCATAAAGATAAAAGACGACCGTGGAACATTGTGCTCGCATAAGGAAGAGATCGTTAGAGAAATCCGAAAATTTTTTGAGAAGCTGTATACTTCTACTATTCCGAACCCCGGTATACCAACAAAACATATCTTAAATGTGGGCTTAGAGGACTTCCCTGAAATAATAACATCAGAAATTAGAGCCGCCCTAAAACAAATGAAAAATGGGAAAACACCAGGAGAAGATAACACCATTAGAAGAGGCAATAAGAGTATTACTTAATAAATGCCTATTGGAAGGACAAATACCGAAGACATGGAAAAATGCGGAAGTCATTCTACTCCATAAAAAAGGGGACGCCGCAAATATAGAAAACTACCGACCAATAAGCTTATTGTCACACCTTTACAAACTACTAACCCGAATAATAACAAATAGATTGACAGCTAAACTAGATGCATACCAACCAGTGGAGCAAGCAGGCTTTCGTAAGGGTTTTGGCACTATCGATCACTTGCAAACAATTCGGACCATTATTGAAAAAACAATAGAGTACAACATACCACTACATCTGGCATTTGTCGATTATCACAAAGCATTCGACAGTATCGAGAAATGGGCTTTCTTAACAGCATTGGACGACGCCAGAGTAGATTCAAGATATGCTGCCCTCCTTAAGAATATATACGATGTTGCTACTTTTCACGTAAAAATAGATGATGATCTGGAAACTATGAAAATAGACCTTGGCAAAGGTGTGAGACAGGGCGACACCATCTCACCCAAGTTATTTACTTTAGCATTAGAAAATGTTTTCAAACAACTAAATTGGGCCGAAAATGGATTAAAAATAGATGGAGTATATCTTAACCATTTGCGTTTTGCAGACGACATAGTACTAATAAGCACAGATATCCATGAACTAAAATCAATGCTACAAGATTTAAATCACAAATCGAATCAAATATAAGCCTCAGAGACAAAATTCCTAACACCGAAATACGTCGAAGAACTAAAGTAACCGACATCATGGGAAAAATAGCGACATTGAGATGGCAATGGGTAGCACATGTAGCAAGACAAGACACCAACAGATGGTCTCATAAAGTGACATTCTGGAGACCTCGAGAAACAAAAAGAAGCGTGGGAAGACCTAAAAAGAGATGGATAGACGATATAACTGCTGTAGCTGGAAAGCAGTGGATGAGAATTGCAAAAGATAGGGAAGATTGGAAGCAATTGGAGGAGGCCTATGTCTAACATTGCATAAATGAAGGCTGAAGAAGAAGAAGAAGACCTGCTCATTTCCATTTCAGTGTTGCTACTCTCTCTACTGCATCAGCCACTCCTGTTCTTTATCGTAGCTGGCGATTTGAGATCTTGTCTCGTAGTGAAACGCCCAACATAGCACGCTCCAACGCCCTTTGACACACACGGATCTTTTGAACTGTTCTCCTTGTCATGGTCAACGTTTCCGCACCGTAAGTCAACACTGGCAAAACACACTGATTAAAGGTTTTTCTTTTAAGGCATATTGGTATATCAGACGATTTGAAAATATGGTTCAACTTGCCGAAGGATGCCCAAGTCAGTCTTATACGACGGAGAAGCTCAACGGTTTGGTATCTTTTCCTATGCGGATCTCATGACCTAGGTATTTATAGGCCATTACCTGGTCTATGGATCTTGTTCCTACGCATATATCTTCGCTGACTACAAGATTTGTCATCATCTGGGTTTTAGATATATTTATTTTCAATCCCCCTTCTAGCGAGGAAAGGTAGAGCTGATTTATAAGTTCTTTGGCCTCATCTATCCTATCAGCTATTAGTACAATATCATCTGCAAACCTTAGATGGCTAAGCTTTTCTCCATTTATGTTTATGCCCTTGTCGGTTAGTTTTGCCCTTTTACATATATATTCCAAAAGCGTAGTGAACAGTTTCGGCGATATGGTGTCCCCCTAGCGTACTCCACGTTGTATCGGGAATTCCTGGGTTTGACGATCACCCACTCTAACACTGGCTGTTGCGTTTTGGTATATGTGTTTAAGAGCGTAGGCGCAAAATTTCGGGTCAATGCTTTTTAAATGCATTCATTTTTTTTCGAATCCTGAGAAAACTAATAAGTATTTTTAAAAAATTTAAACGCAGAATGAAAAAATACATTATTAACGAGGGCAGAAAGTCCCTGAAAACTTCTATAATGTTTATTTTAATAAGTTACAGGGGTGAAAAAAAAAGAGAGAAAATTTAGTGTAATTTTTAACCTCAAATATCTCATTCAAAAAAAACTTTTGTTTATTCTAAGGGATTTTCGGCCCGTTAAAATATCCAATTATCAATGTGTAATGTGTTTTTAAAGTTTGTGTAGCTGATTTGATATCTTCAAAAAATTGATCAACTTCCTCATCCGGGTGGCTCGTAGTTGGTGCGTAAGCCTGTATAATTTTAAGTTTGTATCTTGAGTTTAATTTAAAAATAAGATAAATGACTCTGGTACATATACTTTTTATTGTGATTATGTTTGTTACCCATTTTTTATGGATTAAACAACCCACTCCTCCAACAGATGAATCTTCGTTTCCTCTGAAATGGAACATATTTCCAGACTTAAATATTATTTGATCTTCTTTTCGACGCCTAACTTCACTTACACCGATTATATCCCATTTTATGTGTTGTAGTTCATTCTCCAGTTCTATCATTGATGCTTCTGTTGATAAAGTTTGTACATTGTAGGCACATATATGCATTTGTCGTTTGTTTTGGTGGCCTGATCTCTTCTGGTGATTCTTAGCACCCTCTGCTCCAGCACTGTTCTGACCGCCCTTGGTCAGGGAAATTGGAACCGCCGGGGACTGAGGGCCGTACACTTGATGTATCCATCATGAGGGGAAAATTTGGCCTTGAAACGCCGCGCTGACCAAGCGTGTTGGCGAGTTTTAGAGTTGTAGTAGAAGGAAATATAGTGGCCCGTCTGCCTTCGGAAACCTAATCGCCATTCGGGGTCGGAAGAAACAAGAGTTAGCCAAGAGAGGCTGATAGGAAAGATTAAAGACATTTCACTCAAGACAAGTTGAAAAAGAGTAAAATGTGATGGCCCTTATGATCCGCCAGGTGCGTTTCATAAGCGTATGAGTATTAATTCACTTTATGTTCCCGCTCATACCTCGGGGTGTTGACTACAGACTGTATGGCTTGTCCAGCATGCCATAGCATGAAGAATAGGGTGCACGCTATTTTTACAAAGTTAACACCCCACTCCATGGCCTGACTAACTGTACAGTTTATTTTAATTTATTTCTCGAATCTCTAACCGTCGACGAACACTTGCTTTGTCGAGTATTTTCTGGAATGTTGTAACTGGCGTAACAACGCCTTAGTTTAGCCAAAATTTTCATTGCCCCTGATATCAAGCTGCAGAATCATAAACCATTTAGTGAAGGATGTCTGAATATGGAGAAAGAAAAAAAATTAGTTTACCTACCGTTAGTCTGCTTACCTTACAGGCTAAAGGTAAGCAGACATGTTATTACCACTGGAAAAATATCGAACTTAGTATTGAAGTTCGGTTCGGTTCGTGAATGCCCCTTTGTACGATTCTCGTCGATCGATGCTGATAGGTATAATAAAAGGTTGAAGTTGCGGAGTAAAAGTGATGATTTATTGACAGCAACTCGTAATTACACAATATGGTGTTCGTTCGGTAACTACTCAATATTGACTGTGTTCATTTAAACTCAAATCCCCAATTTATAATCTCACACATAATAGATACATACGCACCTTAGGTCATTGCTTCGTTCATATCACACCACCTAACTTTTGCTTATAATACAATTTAATCTACGCCTTAATTGCGATACTTAGGAAGTTCAATTAGAAAATGTTATTATTCGGCAATTTATTTAGTTGTAGGTAAATGAACTAATTATTAAATTATCATACGATATGGTTTTGCAATATATATAATGCAAACTTATACACGGTGAAACTATAAAAGATTAAGAAGTTAAGAAAAATGTGAAAAATATTTTTGGAGCTTTAGAAGACCGAACACGAAAAAATCTCAGGTGTTTTTACTCAGGTAATATATCTGTAAAGTCAACAGAGCAATAGTTAGATTCTACAAAAAAGTAGAGAAAACGACTGAACTTATTGCTTTTTGCAGAGTGATTGTTCGTTACCACCAAAGTCCATGAAACAAGTTTTTCAGAGCATGAAAAGCTAACAAATTTCTCTCTTAAATGGATAATAAGCTTTATTACAATCCTAGACCTGTTGGACTGAACATAGATGTAGGTTATACACAAAAGATGTTACTGATCGTAGCGTGGAAAGGTTTGTGAGGCCAATCGACTCGTTTCAAATCTGTAACTATGAATTTTCAATATTTGAATTACAATAAAAAAATATAAACTATATATCGTATTTGACAAATATGCAAGATTGATTAGAATTTGAGTTCAGCGCACTGAGAGGCACTTATTCGTAAAGCTAACGCCTAAATTATTTTCAGTAAAAGGTTTAAAAGCTTCAGTGCTATAAAGTGATGGGTTTTTTGTTTTTTGTTCATTTTTTTTGTTAGCTTTCGCCGGTTTTTGTTAGTACTTTGTTAATTTCTTTTTTGTAGGATCTCTATAGAAAAGGTTCTGTTGTGAACTACTTTGTCGACTATTTAGAGCCATGAACTATCCTCTATTGGTTTGTTTATTTTTCTCCCTGGATTTTTTGTTTTCTCTCTGGTGATTTTGTTTATTTTCTTGTTTGATTTTCTCTTCAGTATTTATTTTATTTTCGCTCACTACTTTTTATTTTATTTGACTTCCCTTTTATTTTGTTTCTTTAACTATTCCGCTTTTTGTTGTTTAGGCCTTTTTTGTTTCCGTCGGTGGAAAGCGTCGTATTTCATGATCTATCGCAGTATGGGACTAGGTTGGTTTCTCTGTTTTGTGCCGCATGTATTATGTTCTCAGCTTCTGGTATTTGAAACCATTCTCTCAAGTTTCTCAGCCAGGATTTCTTCTTTCTGTCCAAACCTCTTCAACCTTCAATCTTGCCTTCCACGATAAGCTGTAGCAGACTGTACTTATCATTACGGGACACATGACCCAGGTATGACGCTTTCCTCCTTTTAATAGTTGTTAACAATTCCACCTCTTTACCCATTTACCAACAGGTAGCTGTTGTGAACTGCTTGATTTCTTTTCTTTGTGGTGTGTTCTCATGCGAGAGATGCATATGTAATTATCGGTATAATGATACTGTTTATTACTCATTTTAGTTTTAGTTCTCAGTTTGATTTTCCTACTTGTGAGTCCTCTAATAGATGCTTTAGCCATGTTGGCTTTTTGCACTGTGTCATCTACGTGCTTTTTGAATGTTAGTCCTTTATCCATGATGACTAACAGGTTTTTTGCCTCGCTTTTCCACTCGATGGGATTGTTCTGTACAGTAAGGATTTCTGTTCAGTTTTGTTTTCAGCCAGCGACGGTATAAAAACATGTGCTAATAAATACATAGGCGTACTCTAGACGATGGGTATATTATCGTCAAAGACGTCGAGCAATTTTTTTTTGTTTATAGGCGTCCTTTATGATGCCAAGTCACAATTTGTGTCTTTTTAACTTCGTACCAATGTCTAATTGGTGGTATGCTGGTATAATAAATAGATTAAGCGCCAGTACGAATTAGTATCGCTCACTTACTTGTACGACTAATGACATAACTTCCTGCTATTTTCAGTTTATGTAATTGCTATAGACGCCATCGCTATAAATGACACGTCAAACTATGCCTACAATGCGAATATCGCCAGCATTTTACATAATTTTTGATATTAATGATAACAAATGATGTTCTGCTTTAGTTTAATGAATTAAATAATCACATATCTTGTTTAAGATTCCAGAATACAATCGCAGCCCAATTCAATGGTCATACTCATAGGGACCAATTCTTCTTACATTATGATAATGAAAGTACACCAATTGGGGTTACTTTTAATGGTGGATCCCTAATGCCTGATAACGCTAATCCCAATTTCAAGATATTATCAGTCGATGCTAGCAGCTTTGTAAGTAATGAGAAATGAAAAAGCTTGTTTAGATAGAATAGTTGAGTTATTTTTGGTATAAGATTTTTTGGTGTTTTTTTACATATCATTTGAAATATCATCTTAATACGCGCAATTAAATATTTAAAATTTGGAACACCAAAAAAATTTGTCAATCCTTCCGCCGGGCTTCACCAAGTTAAAGTTTTAAGCTACCAGAATGATGTATAGTGCGCGCAAGCACTCTTGACCATGGAGCTGCGCGAAGGCGGAGTCAAATTCACGTAAAGGCAGAATGAGTTTCACACGGAAGTAGGTAGTGACTAAACCAAATTTCATCTACTGCGCCGTGGTCAAGAGTGCTTGCGCGCACTCTACACATAGCACTACTTTCGCCAATGATCGGCTACTTTACAGTTTCCAAATTACAAGTTAAATATTATTCATTTAGTCTAATGATTTAATGTTAATTAAACTAGTTAATGTTAACTAAATAGTTACATTAGCTAATTATAGAAAAATATTGCATGTGTTACATTATTAACATTATTTTTTTCTAGCGATAATGTACCTACCACTTTTTAATACAACTACATAAATAACCGTTTTTTTTAGAACGTCAAAGATTTCGAATCTTACACATTTGATTTAGATTCAGCAAACAAAAACCAAAAAATAGACTGGATAAATCTCTATTCATTTAAACATTCTTTCAAACTTGAAAATTTGACACTAGCAAGTCTTAGCGATTTGGTGCTAAATAAAATGAAATCTGACGAAGTAGTGGATCTATATCGCAGGTAATGTTTTATTTTGTAATTAAGTTAAAAATTTTTGTTTACTTTCTAAAATAGTTAGCTACAAACTAAAAAATATCTTAAATATAAAAATATATTTTATAATTTATAATTAATGTTATAATTATAATTTTATAATTAATAAACCTAAAACCACGACGTGAGTTATTTATAACTAAACTTTACGCCCACATTGTTTCACAGGCGCACGGCCACTCTTGTACATACAGATTGAACCAAAGTAAAACGGAACATACAATTTAATACATGTCTGTTTGAACTGCATTTGAAATAGTGGACCAATATAAAACTTGGACAAAAATAAATCCATACCTGGGTATAGACATTGTATAAAATATCGTTCAACTATCTGTCTCGCAACAAAGTTGTTTGAGTAAGACGCGTTTGTCTAAGGAAGCGATAATAGTTCAGGAAATGAAGCTCGAAAAAAGTTAAAACCTCGCAATTTTTTCGTCCTGCATGTATCCAGTTGAAATTTTAACAGAAGGTAGGTGATAGTCCAAGGATCAAAATCTATATCGAACCGAAGTGCGCTGAAGGATTTTAGGGGTGAAAACTACCCCTAATTGTCAAAAATTATAAAATAACATATTAAACCTGAATATGGGTAAGATTTGGTTTAAATTAGTTAAATAATGATTATTTTATACTTTTGAATAGAGTTCCATCCTGTTTCAAACCTTAAAAAGCAAAACTTGTTAGAGATTAATGTAAAAACTTACTAATTCTAAAAAAATGATTTCGCCTTGGATCGATTTGGATAAAAATTTGGATTTAAGCTCAACTCACCCGCTGCTTTATAGTTTATGTCATGCCGTAATGCTTGTAAAATAATATTACAAATCTTAAGATGAGTGAAATTTGGTTTGGATTAGTTAAATTGTGATTTTTTTATACTTTAAAATACAAATTCATACATTTTCAACACTTAAAAATCAATTGTTATGAGTGCTATAGGTGAAAACAATTTTTTTGCCAAAATTTTGCAACTTTTCAACTTTTGAAAATCACCCTTTACAACATTGCAGTTTTTATAAACTAATTTATAAGATATAAATTGAAAAAAGTAGAATTAAATACAAAAAAATTTATCAACATAAAAAGGCACCATATATTCTTATACATTTACATAAATAGTTGAAAATATTTACATTTATAGGTAAAACAATTATAATATTAATTTTATTCGTCATCAATTACATCATCATCGTGATCTATGTCATCCTCATATTCTTCAATTATTGGTGGACTGTTATTGCACCCTTCACCTGAGCACCCAGAACAAGTAGAGTTACAGTATAAACCAACTTTTCTGCACCCACATGAAACGCCGCATCCTTTTTTGCATTGGCAAAAAATAATTTTCAAAAGTTCATCGGGTGCAGGTTGTTTGTTCATGCGTACGGGTAATAACAAACCATCTTTGGAATACCATCCCCAATCTGTTGCTCTGATATTTTCATTGCCAAGCCATAGACATATGAGCAGATGTTTTATTCTGTTGTATGGGATTTCAAAATAAGAACGCTTAAAATTTCGAATGTTTAACGCCCCACTAGCTAATATACTGGTTTTGTAGATTATTATGCTCCGAAATGTACTGTACTATACTAATGGAATTTTCCGAAAAAAAAATTAACTGGTTTTTTTAACGTATTTCCTTTAATTTTTAACAATAGAGTGTTTCTTCAAAAACGATTTGTAGAGGTTTTTAAGAGCTACAAGGATCTGTGAATTAAATCTTTTTGGAACCCTTGGTTTTTAAATGGGGTGAGTTTAAAGGGCTCTAAACGGCTTTAAACGGCTATATCTCGCCAAATATTCATTGTACAACAAATCTAAATAAAGGATAATTTTAGTCATTAAAAAAGCTACAATTTGGTAATTTTTATTTTTTTCATATATTCAGTATTTTCGGGCATATTTAAAAAAAGAAGGGTAAAAAATATGAAATTGTAAATCGTTTCTCGCTTTAAGCTGTACTTTTTCTAAAACTAAGCATTTTAAATGGGTCAAACTTCTTGGACGTATTAACAATACATGTACAAAGGGAATTGCAGAAGGGTGAAGATCGATTTTAATTATGGCGGTGGTTAGAGGGTTGTTTTCATCGATTTTTTCGTAAAAAATGAGGTATTGACCTTATTTTCATCATAACTCACTCAATTTTTGAGCTAGAGTCTTTTTTATGATAGGTCTATTTATGCTCTTTAAAAAAGGTTTTGTGAGTTTTCTTCCAAAAGCATCATTTTCCGATTTGACTTTGAATCTTCAAATTGGCATTTAGAAACGCTGAACATTGATAGGCCGTATTTCGGTCCTATATCGCAAAAACATTTAAAAGAATGTATTTGTCTTTTAAAGCTCAATTGTTTCTACAATTTTTGATAAGATGCACCATTTCGAGTTATTCGCGAAAATCGATTAAAACGTGGATTTTTTCGTCTAAAAGTTGTTACTTTCAATCGCGAATAACTTGAAAAATATCATTTTATAAAAAAAAATGTATAGCACATTTTTTGTTTAGAATCACTTTTTTAATCGAAACCTGTAGTTAAAACGTAAAAAAAATTTTCACCACGGAGATGGGGTGGCAACCACCCCCTAGGCTTTGGCGCACTTTGGTTCGATATAGATTTTGATCCTTAGGGTATTACCTACCTTCTGTTAAATTTCAAGTCCATCCACGCAGCACAAAAAAATTGCGAGGTGAAATGATTCATTTCCTGGCCTATAACTGGTTTGACAGCATAATAAAATCGTAGATTTATGTGCAGCTTTCAATTTTTATGAGTTCAGAATGCAGCAGCCCGCTGAAGTATGGGATTTTTATAATATAATTTATTTGACAATCTTTTGTTGGCCAACCACCTACAGCAGAATTGAGCCGAAATACATTATATTCCTATGTTCCGAATTTATTTCGTTCAATCTGTACATATGAGCCGTCTACTTTCAAAACCAGGTGCATCCATTTTTTTTTTCAGATATTATTTTTATGTTATTTTTATTGAGTTAAAATACGGATCCATATGTGTGCCAAGTAAGAATGTTCAAAACAATGTACATCCTATTCGAATTAATTAGCTAAAATCAAGGTTGGTTTCAAAACCAGGTGTCTCAAAGTTTGCAACAAAACCAGGTGGATCCACTCAGGTTAGGGCTTTCCGTCAGCTGCAGCGCACAGATCGTGCGTCAACGTCGCGTACGTTATGTGGTTATTGTTGCTGTGTTGCTTGTATTGAGATAAGACGTGTTTTCATATTATTTTGGTTTGTTTTGTTCGGTTTTTTGATGGAAACTCAACCCGTAGAGTGTCCTGACTCGGCCAGGAAGAAGAGAAAAGAACCTGGAAGTTGGAAAAGACCACGAGAGAAGAGGCAAAGGTAAAGCTATTGAAGATTGTATGTACTTTTTATTTTCTTTGAAAACTTTGTGTTATATACTGTGGCGGATTAAGGTCGTGGCCTGAAGTAAATGCGAGAACAAGAGGCTTCATTGGTTTTTAGGCTTTAACGTTTTTTTAATCGATATATATATATATATATATATATATATATATATATATATATATATATATATATATATGGCATTGATAATTTATTATTATGGATAGCATATTTTTATCTGAAATAAAACGCCGTTTACTTGAAGAGGTTTTTTGCAACCTGGGCTTAAACCGATGTGTATGGCTACTACAACAAGGTATTTTTTAGAGATATGGTTCAGATGGATTGCCGAAGAAAATTACTCGCAATCACGGAAAGAAGGGAAAGCCATATCACTGCCAAGAACGTACATACTCTGACCAAAGATATTTCCATAGCCAATTTTACAAAACTATAAAAAATCAAACAAGTTGAAAATATATCAAGACTCGATTATGTTAAAGTATTCAGAGACGTTTGTACCAAACTATTGTAAAATCTTAAACAATGCAAGAGGAAAAAACAAGATGAGTGCTAATTACTTTGTATACAAAAAGTCTTCGAAGAAAAGAGTCCGTATGTGTAAAAAGGCGTTTTTAGATACATTAAGAATCAAGCCCAATCGTTTGCTGGGTGTTCTAACCAGAAACTATAACACCGATGATCTACCACAAGAAAAAAGGGGAGCAATCGGAAGGGCAATTTATTTTTAGGAACAATAGAATCAACTATCACTTTTATCAAAAAGTTTAATGTACTTGAAAGCCATTATTGTAGATTCAAAACTACTTCTCGCCAGTATCTGACTTCAGATCTGAACATTAAGAAAATGTGGCGCCTCTACAACGCTGAGGTCCAAGAAGAGGACCGGGTAAAACAATCGTATTTTATATGTTTTTAATACAAATTTTAACTTGGGATTTGGTAGCTTAAGAACTGGATAAACTTGGATGAAAGAATTAAGCATTGTGATGACGTAAAAACCAGAACAAACTTGATGGCGCAAAAGAGAGTGCACAAGTTAAAAACAAAGGCTTTCTATCGGCTTCTAAAAGAAAAACGGGAAGATTTAATGACGGTATCCTTCAATTGTCAAAAAAATCAAGTCCTACCCAAAGTGCCAGACCAAAGCGCTTATTACTCAAGACAACTCTACATCTACAATTTAACCACTGTAGTTGGTGACTCAAAATGCAACCAAACCAAAGAAAATGTATTCTAATACTGGACAGAAGACCAATACGGAAAAAGTGCCAATGAAATAGCATCTGCTGTTTTTAATTGCCTAATGAAATTGAACATTCCTGAAACTGTGAAAACTATTGAAAAAAGCTCCTGTAACTGTGGAAAGAGCCGAGTTTGTGTTTCCTATAGTGGGCCATTCTTTTCTTCCATCCGATTGGGTATTTGGTAGAATCGAGAAGGAGATTAGAAGAAAACCAGTGATCATTGAATCAGCTGAATACGTTGATGTTTTTTCTCACTATGGAACTGATTCCACTGTATGGCTTAAACTATGATTGGAAATCAAACTTCGACGAGATGCGACCTCCT